AACGCTGGAGGCACGCGTTCGTGTTTTGGTTCCCTGAGCGATGCGCACGGAGGAAGCCGGCTCTGACGTTTTTTGATTGCATGACACGGTGGGCTGCGCACCGGTCGTGCGGCCGTGCCAACGGGCACCCCTGCGTGGAACCGGGACAGGCCCGCCGCGCTCAGCTTCTTGGGTGCGTGGCCCTGCGTCCCGTGCCGAGGCTTGTCGGAGCGGTAAAGTGGGGGGACGTTGCGGCGCTTCGTGTGCGCGGGGTTGCATGTGCTGCGCGCGGGGGAATACTCGCCCGGACCTCATCCTGGCGGCGGCGCCTGCGCGCCCGCCGCGGCTTGGAGGGTGTGTGTGCGTGGGGGGTCCGGAGCGATCCCCTCCTCTCCCGTGGCGACGCCCGCCATTGCGGCGGGAATCAGGGAGAAGCGCGACACCCTACTGGTTGGGCGGCTTTCTCCGAGGAGGCGCTTGCCCCGCGGTTGTACTGGGGACCCGCTTTGGTTCGCTCGCGGGCGCGCCGGCGACGGAGGAGGCCCCAGGCTGCGCATGAGTTTCACACTGCACCCTCGCCGCCGTCGGTGGTTCTCTGCACGTGCCGCGGCGCGGCACAAGTTGCGCCACGGCTGGTGAGAGGGCTGTTGGAGGTGCTGCGTGGATGCAGCCGCAGCGCGGCGTCGTGCGTAGTGGGCTGTGGCCTGTGCACCCCGCTCTGGAAGGCGCCCCTCTCCTTCTTTTCCTACTTGGAGGGACTTTTCCGTTGCTTCACGTCGTGGGTGGACGGCACTTGTCTTCGGGAGGGAGCGGCAGCGCTGTGAGGAAGGGGCTCTCCGGCGGTACGTGTCGCCGTGAGAGATGAGTCTGGGCCCTCATCGTCTCTGTGCGACACCCCCGGCTTCGCGGTCGCGCGAGCGTCTGGGCGGATGCGGTGCTTTTGTGGCTGCGTACTGAGCAGCGGCAGGTTTGGCGATGGGTAGGGGTGGTGGCGGCGAGGTTGTTGGTGCTGCGGGGAGTTACTGAAGGGTCTTCCCTCCCCCTTTCCTTGTTGCCAGTTCGGGGACTGGCTTCACTGCGGGGAGGCGGAGGAGGCCGATTCGTGTGGGCGCGATGGACTGTACGGGGCCCCATGACGCTTTGTTGTGCACCGCATCTTTCTGTTCCGGCTACGCCTGGAGGCGGCAGCTGCGTGGCAGTTTCAGGGCGTGTGCACGTCTGCTTGCCTTTGCGGGGGCGCCCGGGACGCTTGGCTGCAGAGTGTGGCTGCTTGCCCCCATTGCGTTTGCGGCGGACAACTGCAATGCGTGGGCGTGAACGGTTGAGGTCCCGCGAAAGGGGCTGCCTTCCGCTGTGGGGGACCTGATTTGCGCCGCGGTGACGTGGAGGCGTGCGGCCAAAAAAAAAAAACGGCTTGCGGCAGAGGCGGAGATGACGCACCGCCGATGGTGTTATTTGCCCCGTTTTCTGACTTTTGCGTCCCTGGAAACGGGCGGCCATGGGCACGTCTTGGCAGCGGCCCTTTTGGTGTGTATATGTGTTTGTATATGTATATATGTGTGTGTGTGGGTGAGTGCGCCAGCGGGCCCGCCGCCACCTCTTTCCTTTCTCCTTCGTGGCCTCACACAAGACACAAATCACAGTGCAACGACACAACAAGCAAGCGAACGGCACAAAGAACGAAGTGGTCGAAAACTTGCGCGACAACAACAAAAAAGCACGAATATGCGCCACACTCTGCACGTTATGTTGCTGTTGCTGCTGCTCTGCTGCCTCGCCGGCCCTTTTGCCGCCGCTGAGCAGCGCTGCATGTTTGACCGCATTTCTCGCAAGGCTGGTTCCCGAAGGAGATCATTGGTGCTGGAGCTTCCGGATCGGGAGCGTGGCGGGGCGCAGGTTTTGACTGCCTCTGTGTCTGGCTGGGCACCCATCCGTTTTAAGGTCTTCTCGGAGGACATGAACAACCCTTCGAAGTACTGCACCGCGGCGGGAGAGACCCGGCCAGATCTCGCTGGAGGAACCCTTGTGTGCCGGCAGCAGGATGTTTTCACGGACGAAAAAAAATCCATCATATTGAATCGGGTACTTCCTCGAGCCATCCAAATGCACGTGGACCGTCTCTATGTTGAACCGTTTACGGACGCACTGGTTATACCGGGGTTTTCGCCTGGAGATATATGCGGTGAGTTTACAATACCCAGCTCCCACCACACAACGGGTGTGTCCGGTGCGGACGTGTTTCTGTACGCCGCTGCTGCTCCGACTGAAGGTTCTATACTTGCGTGGGCAGTGGGGTGTGCTGAATTGGACACTGGGCGTTCGGTCGTCGGGGTCATAGATTTTGGTCCGGAGTCAGCCGCCGATTCGGAGAGCAGTGTTCGTGTTGCCGCGCATGAGATTGCACACACGATTGGGTTTGAATCGTATACGTTTGAGGACAGGAAGATGGTACAGACGGCATCTGGGGTGCGTGGAAAAGGCACAGTTGTTCATATGACGACACCGAATGTACTGGAGAAGACTCGTGCGCACTTCAACTGCATGAGTGCCCCTGGAATGGAGCTGGAGGATGAGGGTGGGGATGGAACGACGTCGTCGCACTGGGAAAGACGCAACGCAAAGGACGAGCTGATGGCTGGTCTTACCGGGGCCGGCCACTACACGGCGCTGACGTTGGCTGCTTTTGCGGACATGGGCTTTTACCGGGTGCAGTGGGGGATGGCGGAACCGATGGCATGGGGCAAAGACTCCGGCTGCGAACTGCTGACGCAGAAGTGCCTGACCAACGGCGTCACCAACTACCCGGAAATGTTTTGCGGCTCCAAAAGCAACCTTTTGGTGTGCACGTCGGATCGCCTGGCCCTGGGGTACTGTACTATTTACACCCACCAAAACCCGCTTCCCGCACAGTTTCAGTACTTTACGGACCCCAAAGTTGGCGGGTTTGCTAACGCTCTGATGGATTACTGCCCTTACATTCAAGAGTATGACAACATGCGGTGCATCGATGGTTCGGAAAACGTTATGCCGGGGAGCCGCGTTGGCCCAAAGTCAAAGTGCCTCAAGGGGGATGGGCTGCGTGGCTCCAAGGGCAGCCTCGGTGACGTGTGCGCTGAGGTTTCGTGCGACGACGACAGGGTGAGTGTGCGGTACCTCGGCGATGACACCTGGCACACGTGCCCGGAGGGCGGCAGTATTGCGCCTGCCGGGTCATTCACGAGCGGGAAGATCTTGTGCCCAAGGCGCATCGAAGTGTGTTCCCAACTACAAGAGGAAGACGGCGACGACAGTGGAGACACCGAGGGAGACACCGAGGGAGACCTGAACGGTGGCACCGAAACGCCTCCAAATTTGGATGCCAGTCGCTTGCACAGCGTCTTTTTTCCCCTTGTTTCCACTGCTTTCTTTGTGGTTGCCGTTGGGGCCGTTTGGTAAAGAGTTCCATACTAAGGGCTATTTTCCTTTCCTCGTGCACACCCTTTCATGGCAGCTTCCATGTTCAGTTAACTATATACTGCCGTATATACGTTTACTCTTTTTTCTTTTTTTAAAAGCTTTTTTCTTTGATGCGTTTGGGATGAAGTCGCTTTTTTTTTTGATTTTTTTGGGGGCGCTTGTAAAGTACTGAAGACAAAAGCGTCATGTGTGGGATGCATTTTCCTTTTGTACGAATTTTTATACTCTGCCCGCCCGCCGCCGTGTGGGCTCCGCGCTACAGATGTAGTGAGGCGCCATGTAGCTTTTGTTTGCGCCGGTTCCCTTCCCGCCCGTGCCTCGCTGCGCGCAAGCGCTGCTGTGGTGTGGGAGAACAACAGCCGGCAGCGTTCTTTCGTGCGCCGTGCGGGGAGGCGCGGACTCGGTGGGGCTTCTTTTGTCTGCTCTGACACGAGGGGGTGATGGGTGATTGTGTTGGGTTTGGTCGAGGGCTGCTGCTGCTGTTTTCGAGCTCGTGTCCTCTTTTTTCTTTCTTTTCCCGGGGCTTCTGTGGATGGAGGCGGCAACGCTGGAGGCACGCGTTCGTGTTTTGGTTCCCTGAGCGATGCGCACGGAGAAGCCGGCTCTGACGTTTTTTGATTGCATGACACGGTGGGCTGCGCACCGGTCGTGCGGCCGTGCCAACGGGCACCCCTGCGTGGAACCGGGACAGGC